TTCATTCACCAACAACCTTTATCTTCCAAGAACTTCCTCTGTGTTTCATTTTTGCAACAAATGTTTTAGGTAGGTTAGGCTAAGGGATGGTGACTGGCGCTAAGTCATTCAAGTGAGCTTCATGGCTAAGTTGGAATTCAAATCCCGGTCATAGTCCAACACTCTAACCATCATACCCTAGCCCAAGATTCTGTTCAGCCTAAGTTTTTGTACAGTGGTACCTCGGGTTAAGTACTTAATTTGTTCTGGAGGTCCGTTCTTAACCTGAAACTGTTCTTAACCTGAAGCACCACTTTAGCTAATGGGGCCTCCTGCTGCCGCTGCGCGATTTCTGTTCTCATCCTGAAGCAAAGTTCTTAACCTGAAGCACTATTTCTGGGTTAACGGAGTCTGTAACCTGAAGCATATGTAACCTGAAGCGTATGTAACCCAAGGTACCACTGTAGTTGTGGTCATTCAGGGCCTCATCCTCCTAGGTTGGGTGGGAAAAGGCCTGCAAAGAAATGATTCAAAATAAAACATTATAATTATGGAAACTTTCCAAGGAAAAGCAGTATAACCTAAGAAGCAGGGATTGTCAATGAGCTTTCCGTTGTAACTAGAACACTTTTAATGTTTACCTTAAAAGCTCTGGCACTTGAGATTGTCTTCATTCCAAATTTACTAATATGTATTTTACTAATCCAGGGGAAATACTGTCCTATGAGTCCCCAAGGCTTAATATCTAGGTGTTGGATATTTGATAAACTTAACATGGTGCTTTCTTAGTGAGATATAGCCCTCCCGGGACAGCTTTGTACAACCCAACCCATTAAAAATACAATGTATGCTTCCCTTGTCAGGTCACTTCAAGCGTTTTTCTTAAATTTACATTTGTTACTTGATCAGACTCCTTATCCCCAATCTCTGGAGGAAATCTTTAGTCTTTTCATGTCACAATGGTTTCACAGTTACTGGGGGCGACTTGATACAAATGTTATTTTAACTACTATTCCTGAGTTAAACAGAGCTGAAGAGAGTCATGTCAATGCAAGGAAAGAACAGAAGTATTTTTAATTACATTACATTACATAGATGTATTTTTAATTACATTATGTATTATTGTGGTTTTATACTCTAAACCACTCTGTGATCCTCAAATGAAGGGCAGTTTATAGTTGTTGTTATTATTATTATTATTATTATTATTATTAATTATACAGTACAGTAATAGTAAACTACTAAAAATAAAAGCAGATAAAATGGTTTGTAATATGTTTTTTAAGGTCAGTGAGTAAGTCCAAGTGACCACTTACCAACTGATAACGTCCCAAGCTCTGAAGGTAGCTATATCAAAAGCTGTTCATTTGTAGTGTTCTACATTCCATCAGGTTTTGAGGATTTATTGTAACCACCACCTGGCTCTCCAAATAAATGAATACACATAGAATACATATGAATACATATGAGTAGTAAAATTATCCTCCCACTTGATAGAACATTTCAAAAAACCACTGTCTTCCAACACAAATTATCTGTTGGTGTATGCAGTTTGTTGACTTTTCTTTAAAAACACACACAGGCGTCCCAAACAACTCAAGGCAAGTTCTCAAATTATAAAACTGTATGCGCAACTTGTGACCCACCAAGTTAAATACCCTTCGGTTAGCTGTATCACGTGGCCTGCCAGGAACACAGTGATTGTCTTGCTCTTGATCTCTGTCTAGGTGTGCACAAACTGGGAAGGGATGTCAAGCCCTTTGCAGGCCATGACACTTGCCTGGTGGATTGCATCTGGCTTTGTTGGTCACAGGCTGTGCAGTCATGGATTGAACATGACAGCTGAACTGAAATGGTTCTCAAGAGAGCTCTTATATTTACGGGACTGCCTCTCCAGGTATGCCCCGCAGAGGACCTTAAGGTCCATGAATAATCAGAGGTGCTGGGCCCTAAGGAGGTCATATTATCCTCCACCAGGGCCAGGGCCTTCTCAGTGATGGCTCCGACCTGGTGGAATGCTCTGTCCCATGAGACCAGGGCCCGCAGGATTTAGCTTCCTTCTGCAGGGCCTGTAATAAAGAGCTATTCCACCTAGCTTTCCATTTGAACTTAGCCTGATCTTTTATTTCCCTTCCTTCTCTCCCCATCCCCTTTTTATGAAGATTACCCACTCTGGGATCCCACAGCTAATTCTTCCCTGGTCTCCTCACTGGCCCAAATAGGACTAACTTAGCCAGCTAGCCCTGGTGACCATCTAGTGTTTATTGGATGGATTTCCCCCCTAAATTGATTTTTGAATTCTCAATTTATTGTTATTCACGTTTTATACTGTATTTTATGCTGTTTTTTTGTTTGTTTGTTTGTTGCATCAATGAAGTGTTTTAAATTTGTTGTTAGCCGCCCTGAGCCCGGTTTTCTGAACCAGGAAGGGCGGGGTATAAATGAAAATGTATTATTATTTATTATAATATAGGGCATTGCTTTGTGTGAAAGGATCACCTACACAGCTCCGATAGAACCTAAGGCTCTATGCTCCAGGTTTCATATCTGCAATCCTACCTTGAAACCCTGGGACTGAAGAAACAAGGCCTTCTGGTATTTCTGTATATAATTGATTCAGCAGTAAACGTGAAATGGCCTCAGTGGAACACATCTGGCGAGCCTCTCTGAGGAGGGAGTTCTGTGATGCCAACTCCTGCAAGGTCATAGAATGTGAGCCTAATAAAGAGGAAGGACTGAATGCTGGGAATGAGCAAGGAGAAAAGTCTGTTGATAAAAGAGGGGAGGGGAAAAGGATTCAAGGGAAGAAAGCAGTTAGCAAGGCATCAGAAAGTAAAGGAAGAATGAACACAACTCTCAAGATTGGCAGTCTGAAAGAACTATATACAAAAAGCAGCCAAGTAATAATAATTTATTATTACAGCCTTTGACTGTGTCGACCACAGCAAACTATGGCAAGTTCTTAAAGAAATGGGAGTGCCTGATCACCTCATCTGTCTCCTAAGAAATCTCTATGTGGGACAAGAAGCTACAGTTAGAACTGGATATGGAACAACTGATTGGTTCAAAATTGGGAAAGGAGTACGACAAGGCTGTATATTGTCTCCCTGCTTATTTAACTTATATGCAGAATTCATCATGCAAAAGGCGGGGCTGGATGAATCCCAAGATGGAATTAAGATTGCCGGAAGAAATATCAACAACCTCAGATATGCAGATGACACAACCTTGATGGCAGAAAGTGAGGAGGAATTAAAGAACCTTTTAATGAAGGTGAAAGAGGAGAGCGCAAAATATGGTCTGAAGCTCAACATCAAAAAAACGAAGATCATGGCCACTGGTCCCATCACCTCCTGGCAAATAGAAGGGGAAGAAATGGAGGCGGTGATAGATTTTACTTTCTGGGGCTCCATGATCACTGCAGATGGTGACAGCAGTCATGAAATTAAAAGACGCCTGCTTCTTGGGAGAAAAGCAATGACAAACCTAGACAGCATCTTAAAAAGCAGAGACATCACCTTGCCAACAAAGGTCCTTATACTGTAGTTAAAGCTATGGTTTTCCCAGTAGTGATGTATGGAAGTGAGAGCTGGACCATAAAGAAGGCTGATTGCCGAAGAATTGATGCTTTTGAATTATGGTGCTGGAAGAGACTCTTGAGAGTCCCATGGACTGCAAGAAGATCAAACCTCTCCGTTCTTAAGGAAATCAGCCCTGAGTGCTCACTGGAAGGACAGATCCTGAAGCTGAGGCTCCAGTACTTTGGCCACCTCATGAAAAGAGAAGACTCCCTGGAAAAGACCCTGATGTTGGGAAAGATGGAGGGCACAAGGAGAAGGGGACGACAGAGGACGAGGTGGTTGGACAGTGTTCTCGAAGCTACCAGCATGAGTTTGACCAAACTGTGGGGGGCAGTGGAAGACAGGAGTGCCTGGCATGCTCTGGTCCAGGGGGTCACGAAGAGTCGGTCACGACTAAACGACTAAACAACAATAACAACAACAACAATAATAAGTGGCATATCATATAATTTGGCATGATGGTTTGCAGCTGGGTTATTTTGTTGTGTGTCCATTATTGAATTTGTGACTTAATTGGTTGTTTTTAATTATTAAAACAACCATTTAAAAATATTATTCTGCCGTGCTGAATGCCGTTTGCCCAGAGTAAAAAATGGGACAAAAGAGATGAATCGCTCCTGCAGCCTTGGAACCTTGGATCCAGACTTGGAGCAGGCATATTGAAATCAATGAGGCGTGTGGACTATTGTTTTCAGTTGGTCTGAAAGTATGTCTAAATCATTGGACTGAACCCAATAATGGCTCTAACACAACACCTAAAAGCTATTATTACCTGTTTTCAACCTTAGAGGAGCAAGCAGGCCCCCTTTGAAGAGCAACTAACCAACAGAGGGCAACATGCCCATATGAAATGCCCACTTGCATTAAAAAAAAAAAAAAGGTCTTGAATCAGCTCAGAATGAATGAAAGTGCAAATTCAGGTTTGGCGAACCTCCAGGGGAAAGTTTCAGGGATTGCAAGCAGCTACAATCTGAAGAAGTCCTTGTAGTTCTTTTATGCTACAGATACATTATCGTTAATGTAGCTGACCTCTCACATGCCCTTGTGCATGATCATGTTGTCTTTGTATGGCTTTGAGCCCTTAGCGGTTGCGGGTGGGTTATAAACCTAAAGTCATGGCCTTTGTATTGTGAAACAACAGTCCTATGTGGTCCAGGAGTAGCCAAGGGACAATGTTTCTGTCCCTTTCAAGAAGAAGCTAACGAGTTTTAAGATGGGAGGTAAAGTGACCTATCTAAGAGCAGATATACTTTTCCCCTGTCTAAGCAATCTGGCTTTTTATCACTTCCCAGCACCTGCTAGTGCAAGAGCATGACACTTCAGGGATTATTCTGAGCAAGTGTCAGGAGACTCAGGCAGGCAGACAGACAGACAGCCACATATAGAATGACAGAGATGGACGTGGTTTAAATGACACCGCCGGAGCCCTCTGAGAGAGCAGAGAGGTCCCACTTGGCACCCAGGCAACTTCCTCCAGAAAGTCCTGAATAGCATGGAGTATATGGGGGCCCATTTAGCCTTTAAATCACGCTGGCACAAGACAGATGAGGAACTCTGTCGACACAGCATGTCCTTCATCCTCCACAAGGCAATTCGGAACGATTTTTTCCAGAGTTACCTCTACCTTCTGGAGCGGCTGCCTCTGGGTGAGTAAGCTGAAAAGCAGCAGCAGCGTTGAGTGGCTTGCCAGGGTATGCTTGGCTTCTGAAAAGAAGAGCAGGCAGGGGTTTTGGACCTCTTCCCTGGAAGCCCCACCCTCTTTTCATAGTGGTTGAAAAGTTTTCAGAGATGTGAAATTAATCAATTTATTTGCTCTTGAAATACTGATTTGCAGTCATCTTTAAATGTGATATGGATGGTAGTCAACTAGCAAAATAAACCTTGGCAGTACATCTCCAAATGTTTAATTATTGCTGAAGGAAGTATCTGTAAGCTCCATTAATCAGTGCCACCGACCAGTTGTTAATGGCCCGATTGCAGATTAAAAATTGATATTGGACCACCTCCAGAATCCATCACCAAAGTTTGACCAGGTTCCTTTCCCCTTGCCTGCCTGCCTGCCTGCTTCTTCCTCTTGCATGCCCCTATAGTTGCAGGTTGTGTATAGTTGCAAAGGTATGGGTACAGCCTGCTTTAGCTAGTACAGGGGTCTGCAACCCGCGGCTCCGGAGCCGCATGTGGCTCTTTTACACCTTTGCCACAGCTCTGGGGCGGATACTAGCGAGGGGAGGAGGCGCATTGTGCGCCCCGACACTCCCCACTGTGGCGGGCGCTGTACTGGCTGTGACGTCACATGGGGGTGGTGCGTGCGTTAGTCACGCACCGTCCCGACGTCACCTTCCCGCCCGCCCGCTACATTGTAAGGGGCATGTATGCTGGTCACAGCATTGAAAGGGGGCATGTACGCTGGTCACTGTTTTGAAGGGGAGTGAAGAACACACACACACACAAAAAGGTAACTTGTTAATTTAACGTTTATTTCTATGAGGAGGAGTAATTCTGAGGGGTCAAACAAAGAAATAATAAAAGAAAGTGACAAAAAAGTTATTTTTATAATGACGAGTTTTGCGGCTCCCAGTTTTTTCCCCTTCGGAAACGGGTCCAAGTGGCTCTTTTTGTCTTAAAGGTTGCAGACCCCTGAGCTAGTACTATGAGTCAGTGGGTTGGTTCACATATAACACTAAGGGCCCACCCACATTTTTCTTTGCCTTCTTCTTCTCCCCCAGGAAAGACAGCAGTTTAGCACTGAAACAGAACAAACAGCAACTGGGTTTTCCACAAATGGTCGTATGTTCTGATGTAGCACACACACACAAAAATTCCATGGGGAAGCAGCACGGCAAAGGAAAAACTATTCGGAAACAAGTCTAGAAAGCACGGGGCAAGCAGAAAATTGCTCAGACCCATGTTTTCTATGCATGGGGCGTGTGGGCGAGCCCTAAGTCAAACTCTTGGCTTAGAGCGAATATATCACAAGCCTGCAGGTCCCCAGAGAGGAGATTGCAGTTGCTGCGCTTCTCCAGCCCTTACGCTGCTATGAGCTAAGCCATGGTTTGGCGTCAAATGTCATCTGAATCTGGGCTTGTAGTTTGCCTCCTTCAGACAAACAGAATAAACTTTGGTTACAGCTCATGGCTTGTCTCATGCAAGACAGACCACAAGCCCAGGTTTGGATAACCCACACTATGCCAAACCATGACTTAGCTGGCAACAGCGCAGCATCAGGAGAAGCGAAGCCTCTGTTTCCTCCCTGGGGACCTCCTTGCCCACATATTCATGCTAAACCATGATTTGCCTTAGTGTGTCATATGGACCAGGTCAGTGAGTAACGCCAGGAAGAAAATAGAATTTGCAGAGAGCAGTCGTCAGGGTCTCTTCCCACTCGACAATTCTATGATTCTGCTGTGTCTTGTGTTTGAAATTCACTTGTATGCTGCTTGCTTTTAAGATCTGCTAATGTACACAGGGCAAACTGTTACTAGAGCAAAGGGAATGTGCGAGACCAGCAGCAGTGGGAGAAGACTAAGACTAAGACAAAACTTTATTCGTCTCATCCGATGGCCAAAGCAACAGTAAAACATTACAATATACCTCTGGTTGAGAATGGGATCCGTTCCGGAGGCCCATTCGCAACATGAAAAGAGCGCAACCCGCAGTGGCACATCTGCGCATGCGCAGGTCACGATTCACCGCTTCTGTGCATGCATGTGACGTCATTTTGCGCAACTGCGCATGCACGAGCGGTGAAACCTGGAAGTAACCCTTTCCGCTACTTCCGGGTCGCCACGGGACCTGAAAGAACGTAACATGAAGCGGACGTAACCAAAAGTATGACTGTACACAGAAAAAAGGAAATTTAGTAGAAGAGCACAGTTTAGGGTCCTGAATCAACAGTCAGGTAGTGGCCCTTATTCTGATTGCCCCCTGAGAACCTAGCAACCTTTGAGCAGTGGGAGAAGCTAAGAGGTGATACTGGACTCAGCTACATTGGCAAAGAAAAAGCACTTTCTATGCGTTGTTTATGCATTCTAACACTGTGGCACCAGATGGCGCTGTGGAGTTCCATTTTTGCCAACCTGATTTCTCATACAAAGTTTAAAACGCATTTAATTGAAATGCTTCTTGGATGTGTCCAGATCCAGCCACTGTCCGTTCCCATGTGTCCCCAGCATTTTTGAAAGTCCATGGCTAATGCTGATACATATAGAATCATAGAACTGTAGAGTTGGAAGGGACTCCAAAGGTCATTTATTCGATACAGGAGTCTCAACTAAAGCAAACAGGACAGATGACAGACTCTCCAAGTGTCCCTATTTTCCAGGGACATCCCTGATTTAGAGAAGCCGTCCCGGTTTCTGATTTGATCCCAGAATGTCCCACTTTTCCTTAGGATGTCCCTATTTTCATGGACGGAATGTTGGAGGGTATGGAGTTATCTGCCCCCTGAGCTGTCTGAAGGCAATCCTGTATAGGGAAGGGTTTTTTATTTTTTTTAATGCTTAATGTTTTATTACGTTTTATATATGTTGGAAGCTGCCCAGAGTGGCTGGACCAACCCAGTAAGATGTGTGGGGTATAAACAGTAAAATTATCGTGGAATGGGATGTCCCTATTTTCATCGGAGAAACGTTGGAGGGTATGAGATGGCCTTCCAACTTCTGCTTAAAAACCTCCAAGGAAGGAGAGTCTACAACCTTCCGAAGGAGTCTGTCCCACTGTCAAACAGTTCCTACTGTCAGAAAGTTTCCCCCCCTGATGTTTAGTCCTTTCTTGCAATTTGAAGCTATTGGCTCGTGTCCTACAATAATAATAATAATAATAATAATAATAATAATAATAATAATAATAATAATAATAATTTATTATTTATACCCCGCCCATCTGGCTGGGCCTCCCCAGCCACTCTGGGCGGCTTCCATGGAAACCAAAAATACAGTAAAATATCACACGTTAAAAACTTCCCTGAACAGGGCTGCCTTAAGATGTCTTCTGAATGTCAGGTAGTTGTTTATCGCTTTGACATCTGCTGGAAGGGCGTTCCACAGGGCGGGCGCCACTACTGAGAAGGCCCTCTGCCTGGTTCCCTGTAGCTTTGCTTCTCGCAATGAGGGAACTGCCAGAAGGCCCTCGGCGCTGGACCTCAGTGTCCGGGCAGAATGATGGGGGTTGAGACGCTCCTTCAGGTATACTGGACCGAGGCCATTTAGGGCTTTAAAGGTCAGCACCAACAGTTTGAATTGTGCTCGGAAACGTACTGGGAGCCAATGTAGGTCTTTCAAGACCGGTGTTATATGGTCTCGGCGGCCGCCCCCAGTCACCAGTCTAGCTGCCGCATTCTGGATTAGTTGTAGTTTCCGAGTCACCTTCAAAGGTAGCCCCACATAGAGCGCATTGCAGTAGTCCAAGCGGGAGATAACCAGAGCATGCACCACACTGGCGAGACAGTCCGCAGGCAGATAGGGTCTCAGCCTACGTACCAGATGGAGCTGGTAAACAGCTGCCCTGGACAGAGATTTGACCTGTGCCTCCATGGACAGCTGTGAGTCCAAAATGACTCCCAGGCTGCGCACCTGGTCCTTCAGGGGCACAGTTACCCCATTCAGGACCAGGGAATCCTCCACACCTGCCCGCCTCCTGTCCCCCAAAAACAGTACTTCTGTCTTGTCAGGATTCAACCTCAATCTGTTAGCCTCCATCCATCCTCCAACCGCCATCCATCCTCCAACCATCCAGAGCAGGAGAAAACAAACTTGCTCCATCTTCCATGTGACAACCCTTGAGATACATGGCTATCAGATCTCCTCTCAGTCTCCTCTTTTCCAGGATAAACATGCCCAGCTCCCTCAACCATTCCTCATCAGGCTTGGTTTCCAGACCCTTGATCATCTTGGTCCTCCTCCTCCTGTGTACGCGTTCTAGCTTGTCCACATCTTTCTTAAAATGTGGGGCCAAAATCAGACAAAGGACTCCCAAGTGTGGTCTGACCAAGGCAGAATAGAGAGGCACCATGACTTCCCTTGATCTGGACTACAGTCTGGATGCATTTGTTGCTGCTTCATATAGCAGCATTGACTGGGGTCCCGTAGGGTCTGCAGTCAAGACACAAGACACCAGGTTTAAGGTGCTGGTTTTGACCTTTAAACCCCTTTCCCCTTTGTGGCTTAGGGCCCTCGTATTTACGGGACCGCCTCTCTTGGTATGCCCCGCAGAGGACCTTAAGGTCCATGAATAATAATAGTTTAGAGCAGTGTTCCCCAACCTTGGGCCTCCAGCTGTTTTTGGACTACAATTCCCATCATCCTTGACCACTGGTCTTGCTAGCAAGGGATGATGGGAGTTGTAGTCCAAAAACAGCTGGAGACCCAAGGTTGGGGAACACTGGTTTAGAGGTCCCGGGCCCTAAGGAAGTCAGATTATCCTCCACCAGGGCCAGGGCCTTCTCAGTGATGGCTCCGACCTGGTGGAATGCTCTGTCCCATGAGACCAGGGCCCTGCAGGATTTAACTTCCTTCTGCAGGGCCTGTAATAAAGAGCTATTCCGCCCGTCTTTCAATTTGAACTTAGCCTGATCTTTTATTCCCCTTCCTTCCCTCCCCCTCCCCTTTTTATGAAGATTACCTGCTCTGGGATCCCACAGCTAATTCTC